AATAAACAGATCAGAAAAGATCACAGAGAAGCTCTGGTGTCCCCATATGTCCAGACTGGACCCTTTGTCATGGCTGAGTGCAGGAAGCTGAGGCTCTGTGCCTGTGACTCCTTGTTTTGGGTCCCTGAGTCAAAGGCACCTCTCTGCTGTCTTTAGAACTGCTCAGAAGGTTCTTGGAAATATTTTGCTTGCACTCCACGTAGTGTGTTTTAACTTCAGGAACAGATTAAGCACAAAATAGCCTGAGGTGACTCCTGACACCCAAGTCACCAGTTTGACCTTGGACAAGTTACTTACCCTCATTTTTCTCATCTGAACATGGGAATAACAGTAGCACCTGCCTTCCAGGGCTGCCGTGATGTTCAAATGCATCAATAAATTAAAAATCCCTTAGGACATATATCTACATTCCTACCACTTATTAAAAACTATATAACTGAGTGGCAACTTTAGCACAATGGGTAGGGCGCCAGCCCCATATGGCGAGGATGGTGGGTTCAAACCCAGCCCTGGCCAAACTGCAACAAGAACAACAACAACAAAAAAAAAATAGCCAGGGGTTGTGGCAGGTGCCTGTAATCCCAGCTATTTGGGAGGCTGATGCAAGAGAATTGATTAGGCCCAGGAATTGGAGGTTGCTGTGAGCTGTGACACTATGGCCCTCTATTAAGAGTGATTGACTGTCTTTTAAATAAAAATAAATGAATAAAATAAAATAAAAAAATAAAAAATTATATAACTAAAAAACTATATAACCACAGCTGTTGTTCTAGAACAATTGTAGGGAGGCCACTTTATTATTGATAGTAATATTTATAAACCATAGAATATCTTTGAGAATAAGGGCAAATTGGGAGATCGGCAAACTGGCACAGCAATGGGTCTTGGTTTAGATGTAGAATGATTTCTATTTGAAAGTTCCTGGTGTCCATACTGCAAACTCCATTCTGTCAGGTAACTGTTCTGTTTTGAAATCTTCCAACTCCCTTCATTTTACGAATGTATTAACAAGCAAACTCTACGAAGGCTGGAAAGTTTGTGTGATCAGGGCTGTATCGCCACTGCCGGCAGTGGTGCTTTGTGCAATAGTGTAATAGATGGTAATAAACATTTGTAAATCAGAATTAAATTGAGGACTGACCTTCCATGCATGTAACTACAGAGGCTTTGAAATGGCCTCAGTCAGCACGGTTTGAGTTTTCACAAGATCCAACTACACTTGGCAAAGCATCCAGCATTTAAAGGTGAAATTCACAGAGTTGCTATCAGGTGACGCTGCTCTAAAGAATCCATGTTTCTGCCTGGATGGTGGTGGCATTGCGAGATTCACAAATCATGGTGTTTGTTCCCATAAATCAAAGAAGTTGAATTTGTTTTTGAAAAATAAACTTCTTTTTTCTTTTTTTTTCTTTTTGAGACAGAACTTCAAGCTGTCACCCTGGGTGGAGTGCCATGGCATCACAGCTCACAGCAACTTCCAACTCCTGGGCTCAAGCGATTCTCCTGCCTCCACCTCCCAAGTACCTGGGACACAGGCACCCACCACAAAGCCCAGCAGTTTTTTGGTTGCAGCCATCATTGTTGTTTGGCAGCCTGGGCTGGATTCGAACCCACCAGCTCAGGTGTATGTGGCTGGCGCCTTAGCCGCTTGAGTCACAGGCGCCGAGCCGAAAAATAAACTCCTTAAGGATGGGTCTAAACTGAGGCAATAGGCTTTCTAGAACCTCCCTCCCCCAACATGCTGTCATTTGGACAGAGGTCTATCATCTTTTCTGACCATGGTGTTGGGTACCCAAACTAGGTTCTCTGACACACCCCCCGCAACAAGTATAAGGAATGACAAGGAAATTATCCCAGTGTACTGGAATTAAAGCACAGGGGACTGTGGGGCCCCAAAGCATAGATGCCTCTGTGTTCTGTACCTACCGGGTCAAGCATGAAGAGGTCCACTCCCTGCCCTGTGGAAAGAGCCACCAAGGTTGCACTGCCATACAGTGCATAACCCGCAGCCACAATATTGCGGCCAGGCTGTAGGGCGTCCTTTTCAGAAGGCTCATCCTCTGTGGTCTGCAGAGAGAGAAGTGGGCTGTGTTATTGTTGTTTCTGCAGAGAACCCTTTGCCAGGGGCTGCAGCTTCAGACTTCCTTGACCCACCAAAGGGAGTGCAGTTCTCTGAATTTCCTGCTGCAGGGAATGTGTCCAGAGGAAGCATCTTGCCAAGAAAAACCCTCCAGGGAGCTACAACCTCAGCCCTTCTTCATCAGTCTAGGCCACACTCCCAAGCCATTTAATTACAACTCAGATCGCCAAGCTCTGAGCCGTTCCTCATCCCACATACTCAGCAGCCCTCTGAGGTGACAGCATTATCACCTCCATGGCACAGACAGGGAACAAGTGGTTGGATAGCTCGGCTGGCCTCAGAAAGCCTCAGGGCTGGACTCACACCCAGGCAGCGTGGCCCAGAGCTCCTACTGTTCCACGTGTTGCCCTTCAAGGCTTGTCTCTGCTGTGCCTTCCTGGGGACCCCTGTGTACAATTCAGATCACTTTCTCTCTCTCTCTCTCTCTTTTTAAAATGGAGACAGAGTCACTTTGTTGTCCTTGGTAGAGTGCCGTGGTGTCATAGCTCACAGCAACCTTCAGTTCTTGGGCTTAGGTGATTCTCTTGCCTCAGCCTCTCAAGTAGATGGGACCACGGGTACCCACCACAATGCCTGGGTATTTTTTGATGCTTCCTCTGGACACATTCCCTGAAGCAGTTTGAACCTGCCACCCTGGGTATGTGGGGCCAGTGCCCTACTCACTGAGCCACAGGCCCCGCCCTCAGAGCACTTTCTCCAGGACGACTTTCCCTTTGCCATGTGGCACTAGCAGTGCTGATGTGAGTGGAATTCGGACAGACAAGGTGGGGAGCTGAAGAAGGAGCAGCAGATGCTCTCCATAGTGGGACAGAGCAGCAGGTGCCACTTGACTTTGTGACCCATTGTTCCTGCTTTCCCTGAAGGCTTCCTTCTCCTTACCTCCCAGCTCTCTAAAAAGGCAAGTGAATAAAATCTCAGGAATTTGGAACTATGGACAGCCAAACTCCAGCCTCCCATCAGAGTAGCTGAAGTGGGCTGGCGTGGCAGGGGGTGAGCTGGGCCACGCACTGGACACGCATTGTTCTTCCATTCCTCATCTGGGATTCGGGGCACAACACAAATCCCACAGGGAGGGGCCCATTCTGGACAAATGCTCGGGCTCTGGTTCTGTGGATTAGCATCACATGGATGGCCGATGTGAGAGGGGTCCGAGGGAACGGTGAGTGGGCAGAGGCCCTCTAGCTATTTCCTAATTGAAAAATCCAGGCAGCCTCAGCCTCACAGACGGAGGCACATAGGCCCAACATACCTGACAATCTGAGGCTCCAAAATTGCTTCCCATCCCCCTCCCCGCCCCGAGATGGTGGTGCTGGGCTGCTGGGGTTACAAGTTGTTGGCTTCACTCTTCTGAGTCATTCAACGCTCTCTGCTGTGTTTTCCAGCCCATTCCCCTTGGTTATTTAATTAGACTCTCTGTTCTCTCTCTATACCAATGAGTCTTTGGCTAAAAGACAGGTCCAGAAATACTATGTAGAACTTTCCTGTCAAGAAGAAACTTCCAGAGAGAATGAGAAAGCAATGGAGGTAAAGGACATACTTGTACAATTATGAAGACAAGAAGTAATTGTGTAAATAGGAAATAGAGCAGTATAATATCCACCCACATATTATACACACAGGAGGTATGCTGATTATGCTAATTAACTCATCTCAATAATAACTTCTGAAGAGAAAATAATAATTTAGATTTGAATTTACATAGGACTAGGCCCGGCGCTTTGGCTCACACCTGGAATCCCAGCACTCTGGGAGGCAGAGGAAGGTGGATCTCCAGAGCTCATGGGTTCAAGACCAGCCTGAGCCAAAGTGAGAGCTCATCTCAAAAAATAGCTGGGTGTTGTAGCGGGCATCTGTAGTCCCAGCTGCTTGAAGGCTGAGGCAAGAGAATCACTTGACCCCATCAGTTGGAGATTGCTGTGAGCTATGATGCCATGGTACTCTATCAAGGGCAACAAAGTGAGATTCTGTGTCAAAAAAAAGATTTACATGAGACTTTGTATCTTTCAAAGGACTTTCACATTGTGTTTCTGTGGAACAATGAGGAGGCCCCATAACTTTCATTTGAAAGAGAAGTGATGAAGGTCCAGAGAGGGCCTGGACCCACATCCCCTGCAGACTGAGCCAGCCCTCTCCGAGCTCTACCTCAGGGCCCATGGGCCAGATGGCCCTCTGCTGGTAATATTCTAAGAGCTTTATTTTAAAAGGAAATTTTATCCTTCTTTAAAAATGGCACATTCTAAGTAATACTGGTTTTTTACTTTCACAAACTTGCATTCTTTATAATAGGTTTTTTCTTTTATTGTTGGCAAATGAGAACCTTTTCCATTAGAGCATGTGTTAAATAAATCAGCTTTGCTTCCTGATTTCCAAACACATCCCAACCCTGAGCACTTGGCCTTAGGGTAGTGATTCTCAAAGAGGACCAGGAGCTTCAGTGTCAGGATCACTCGGCTCTTGTTTGAAGTGCAGGGTCGTGGGTCCTCCACGGGCTACAGGATCAGAAACTCTGGGGCTGGGCCCAGTGATCTGTCTCCCAGCACCTCCAGGGGACTCTAAGGAGCTAGAGTTTGGGATGTGCCCTAAAGTGTGATTTCTTGAGAAGCCACAAAACAATGAAGGGCAAACATAGAGTTAGATTTTTAATTTGAAATCTTTAGTTTTCTCCATTGAAGCTTCTGAATCATTTTTGTTCAGCCATTAAGATGATCACATTTTCTGTAGGAAACCAGAGTCCTATTCTGCCAATTCCTCCCAGACAGGGAGACCCTCCTGTTCAGAGACGCTCTCGTCTTCTGAGTCTCAGCTCAGCATCCCAGCTTTGTCATAAGTCAGGTGGCCACACAGGAGGCTTTATTCTAGACTCTCTTTTGTGTCCCATTGGTCTGTCTGGTGTTTGTTCTTGTTCATTTCAGTGAGCTCATCTGGGCCTTGAAGGGCATGGGTGATGTATTTTATCTAGCAGTTTGGGATGGTTTGACGTAAGAGAGCTTTTACTAGGTCTAATCTGTGACTTTGTTGGAGATACAAAATGTCAAATATAAGAGCAAGAGGAACCTTACTAGTGGAGGACAGGAAAGGTGTTTAGCATTGCTCCTTGGAAATAAAAGGGACATGGCTCGGCGCCTATAGCTCAGCGGCTAGGGCGCCAGCCACATATACCCTAGCTGGCAGGTTT